TGTTTTGCTATACTTCTATGCCTCTGGCCATGATGTAGGCCTGTTAATGCCAACATCACCACAAAAACATGATTAACATAATGCTTTATGAGATCACTAGGCAATAGAAATTTTCAAACTCCATTGTGCTCTTTCATATGTGGTGCATGCATATAAGTGTGAGGTTTCATTCACTAGTATGTGTGTATGAAGAAACCAGAACAGGACACCAGATGTCTTCCTGTATCTTTTTTTTTTTTGCCTTACTGCTTTGAGATAGGGTCTCTCACTGAACCAGAAGCACACCATTTCAGTTGGCCAGAAATCCCTCAGGAGTCACTCATCTCTGTGCCACCTCACAAATGCTGGGATTATACATATAGGCATACATAGCCATGCATGGGTTTTTACAAAGGTACTGGGGATTCCTACTCAGATTCTTGAACTTGTAGAACAAGCACTCTCACCCACTGAGACATCTCCCCAGCACCTGGTCTTTTAATCAAAAACAAAGTTTATTAGAAAGGTGAATTTGGCTCATGCATTCAAAAAAGGACAGGTATGAAGACTGAATGTGATATATAGAGTTGGTCTTCATTATCTATTGAATCCACATCTCATTATTAACCATGTATAGATCTTGTCTTCTTGTCATTATTCTTCAAAAAGTATAGTATAATAACTATTTATATGACATTTATATTGTATTAGGTATTATAAATGATCCAGAGACTGTTTAAAATATACAGGGAGATATGAGTAGGTTCCAGAATCAATTCCTCACAGATACAAAAGGATTATTTTGTATCTATATCATCTCTTTATGAAAGAGAAAGATTGAGATATCACAATTTACAGCAATCTGTAAACATTTATGTCCACAGTTTATGTTCCCATGCTTGCAGAAGAAACCATTACAAAAGTGTGAAGAAACCATTTCATTGTGCTGAAGAGTTCTTCATGCTAGAAATTTAGACAGAATATAATGAGAATGATTTCTCTTGAGGCCTTGCCTGAGATGACTTGAGGGTTAGCAGTGATGGAATAGCTAGCTATAAGCTATCTTCTGGAAGTTTCATCCCCAACATGTCTGTTGTCTGCACTGGGGTAGCCAGAAGGCTGGGTTCTAGTAATGAAGCACCCACTTTGTATGACTTTCCATGTGCTTTGGACTTGTTATAATTAGTTGACCATATTCTAGTCTGATTTTTTATTTTATAGTTCAAGGTTTGAAAACAGCGTTAGAAGAATAAAATTGCATCACCTTGAGTTCCAGGACAGCCTCCGAAACAATACAGAGAAACCCTGTCTCAAAAAAGAAAAACACAAACAAAAAAATTGCATCACGTTTTGTGACTCAATATGCTATGGTTGAAACAGACACAAGCTTGTGAAGGTTCAAAGGTTACATTACCCCCCAACACTCAATGGAGGAAGTGTCAAAGAATTTTGGATTCTCAGTTCAAAATTGATGCATTTGCCAAGATATGGATGCCAGGATGGAGTGCTTAATAAGGCCGTGATTTATACTTTTGTGAGAAGAAGAACTTCTAGGTGCTTCCACTTGTATTTTTCATCTGTGAAGATCTTATTTTATAGGTAGAAAATCATTGTGGGGGTGTTGATGAAGCTTTTAGTTTAGCTATTCTGATAGGTTGTGACTTTAATATACATTTTACTAACAGATAGTAATGTCAAACATTTCCCCATGTATTTATTTTCCATGTGTTTATTTGTATGTTCTTTTTAGTGACATGTTTCTTCATGTCTTTATTTTCTAATTGTGTTATTAGAGTTTTATTTTTTATGTTGAGTTTTAGTACCTCTTTCTCAAACAGCATTTTTACTATTATTTTTTGAGACAGTCTAATTCTGTAGCCTAGGCTGGCCTAATATTCACCATGTAGCCCTTACTAGACTTGAACTCATGCCAATTTTACTGTTTCAGCCTACCACGTGTTGGGATTATAGGCATAACCTGCTATTGCCTGGTTATCTTCATAGTCTTTTATCAGACTGTATAATTTGAAAATATTTTCCAAGTTTGTAGCATGTTTTATTGTATTCTTAGCAATGGTTTCGTAGAGAAAAGGTTTAAATTTCAATGAAGTCCAGTTTGTTATTGTTGCTATAAATATACTTACAGTACCATGTCTAAGAGTTTATCAAGTCCTAAGTCTCAAAGATATTCATTTTCCTGCTGTCTTCTGAAAGTTTTGTAAATTTACATTTTACATCTAGGATTCATTTCTTGCTTGTTTTTTTCAATATTTAAAGATTTATTTATTTCAGCCAGAACTGTGACACAGAGAAACCCTGTCTTGGAAAAACATTATTTATTTTATGTGTATGAGCATTTCTTTGTATGTATGTTTGTGTACCACATGAGTGCTTAATGCCATCAAAAATCAGAAGAGGGAATCAGATCCCCTGGAACTATAGATAATATAGGTGATAATGATGTAACTGGTACAATATATGAGGCCACTGGCAGTGGGTCCAAGATCTAACACTAATGCACAAACTGACTTAGTGGAGCCCATTCAATATGGAGAGTTGCCTTGTCCAGCCTGGACACAGGGGAGTTGGGGTGAAGAGGTGCCTTGGTCCTGTCTCAACTAGATGATGGGACATACTTAGTAGACTTCCTAGGGGAGGCCTTACCCTCTCCATGGAGCAGATGGGAGGTGGGGGGAGTAGGGAAAGTGGGAGGAGAGAAGGGAGGGGGAACTAAAATTGGGATGTAAAAGACAATAAATTAAAAAAATATTTTTTAAAAAAAGGTCACAGCATTAGGAAAGTTGAGAACCACTGCAGTAGACAAAGAATTTTGATCAGTTGACCTCCTGGCTAGGAAGCAAATAGAGGAAAGAAATTAGACATAGCAAAACATCTCATGAGCAATCATAGAATATTGTAGTTGTGTTCTCTGTCTCCTCAACTTTCCCTGTCTTCTTTTTGTCTATATTTTGTGCATGTCAAGTAAAAGTTCATATAGCTTGGCTTTATATTTTTTCTTTAGCTTGTAGGTTATTTATATGGGATGGTGCTTGAATTAGGAGAGGAATAAGTATTCCACAGACATGGCTACACTGAGTAATTGTACAATACTATGGAATCATTAATATTTTGTTTCAGGGGTATTTTCTTAGTTTGTAGGAAAGATAATGACATTGCTTTGTATGAATGTGTTGTTTCTATAATTTTTTAAATTTTGTGTATAATGAGTATGCTTGTGTATTAAGTAGCTTAGATTTCCTCTCTATATTTGGAGAGGTAAGAAAGCTAAATAAATATATTTAATGTTCTCTTATCTAAATTTCTCCATGAGAACTGGATTCAGTTAATTACATAGGCTAGCATGAGACTTGAAAATCAGAGAGGAGGCAGATGGTTGTAATGACAGTCAGAGTGAAATGGGGTCTGAGACATGAGTTGGCAGCAGCTGGAATCCAGTTTTGTGACAGAAACAGACTCTCAGCCTCTGCTTTGCACTCTGTGTGTACCTTGAAGCCCTAACTAGTTGGCACTCCTTGATTTCATTGCTCCTGTACTGCCAATGAGTTTGCTAAGTACCACCTTTGTGAAACTAATCCCTCCCTACTTGAAACACCTCAAATGAACTCTTTTCTCTCCATTGATCCCTGTTGTACAAAGACGAATAACCCTGGCATATAGATGGCCACCTCTCCCTAGACATTGTGAATGTGGTGTGGTAAGAAATTGTTTTGTCAATTTTTTATTTCTTCTAAGTGTCATTTCCAAGTGAGAATTATGACAGCAGGGGAAAAGACCTTTGCAGATTAGGAAACTGACCAGATGCCACCAAACTTCACATGGGTGGTATTCACATCTTGGATGCTAATTCTAACTTTATTATGGTGCTTTCTAGTTTTAAAGTGTGTTCACAAAAGTAGATGGTGTTTAGAGGGATGAGACAGAGGCAACTCTTGAGACAGACAACTAACTCTGCTATGGGTGACTCCCTGACTATACTCTATACAAGGGGCATTATTGTTCTGTTTCTCATCCTATACATGGGAAAACTGACTTAACAATATAGTTTATAGGGTGTTTTTATAGATTCTGTGAAGCACTTATGACAATGGTACTCAGAAAGGTCACAATAAATATTAGTTGTTTATTTTCTTATTAGAGTACCCTGCATACAACCTTAGACTCATCCTTTAAAGCCCCATAGTCAAAGAGGATGCAGATAGTACTACTGAATTCGAATCATTTGCATTCATTAGAACATTTAAAGAGTTCTGCCCACGCAATAATCTTTGGAGGAGGGGCCTAAAAATCACAGCAATCAAGTGGAAGAGGAGTCTTTCTTCCTCTCTAAACTATATACATGACGGATGTGAGCCATAGGTTTTTGTTCTTGAACCCCTGAGGCCAGCAGACCCAACCCTTGTTGGCATGGCTGTTCAGGGATGGTGATGAAGGTAACAAGTTCATTGTGATGCTGCCACTAGGTTACTTAATGCCTTTGTTTTTGTTGTTTTGGTTTGGTTTGGCTTGGTTTGGTTTTTCGAGACAGGGTTTCTTTCTCTGTGGCTTTGCAGGTCGTCCTGGAACTTGCTTTTGTAGATCAGGCTGGTCTCGAACTCACAGAGATCCACCTGCCTCTGCCTCCCGAATGTTGGGATTAAAGGCATGCCACATCCTGGCCTTAATGTTTTTCTTGTGGGCAGGCTCCTTTCTTCCTTTACTATGACTATGCACCTGAGTGAGAGCAGCTGGGTGTCCTAATTGGGGTCTCTAGAGGAAGAGCCTCTTGTGGCACAGCAATTGCTTGAAGGGGCTTACTTAATTTTGCTGCTTGTTTTTCACCACCGCCGTCTAGGCTCTAGAATAGCAGTTGGCTGCTGTCCCTTCCTCAAGTCCGGGGGGCCGGAGGTGGGGGCGTCGCGCGGCTGCTTGGGGCGGTGCTATGCGGGCGGGCCCGCCCGCCCCGCGGCATCCCTAGCTAGACTTCCTCCTGCCGCAAGCGGCCAGCCCAGCTGGAGGAAGCAGCGGCAGCGGCTGAGGCAGCCACGATGAGCTCGGGCGACGCCGTGTGCACGGGCTGGCTCGTGAAGTCGCCCCCCGAGAGGAAGCTGCAGCGCTATGTGAGTAGGGGCGCCAACTCACCCCTGGCCTTCGTGTCCTCGGTTCTCTGCCCGTGGGGTGGCTGCGCATAGTCCTGGGGAGTCCCTGGCTTTAGGGGCGCCAAGTGTAGCTGTTCCCAGAGCCCTAGCTGCAGGCAAGGTCGATAGACGACGGAAAGTGAAATCGCACGTCGAGCTGTGTGCTGCTGCTGCGCCCTGCAGCAAGCTGGCCTGGTACCGTTTGCCCGCTGTGTTCAACGGCTCTATACTGCTACAGTTAGAGGTGGAGGAAGGTGGGTTGGGGCTAAAACCCCCAACGCCAGTTTGTATTCTGGAGTAGCCAAAGACCTCTCTAAAGGTAGCCTTGTCTCTGTCTCGGGTTCCATCTCCCAACGAGGAGAACAGGGCGAGGGAGAAGGAAGTGGACAGTAAGAGGAAACCTGCGTGGGCTACTTAGTGAAGCTGCTGCATTCCTCTTGGACTGTAATGAGTACTGTCATTGTAGCTATCATAGGACACTCATATTGGGACCCTACCATACAGTGTAACTCTTTTCTCATCATGTCCCTTCTCAGCATATTCTTTATAATGACACGACGCTTTTCTAGTACAGAAGGAACCATTGATATTTACAATTATGAAATAAGGGACACTTGGGGAAATGCATCTTTCTACACATTGTATGACCATCTTTAAGTTGCACACAATTCAAAAGTTCATTATATCTAATGTTCTCAGGATATAATCTTTAAAATATTTTGCTTACAGACCTGATTGCTACTGATCTGTCTTTAGTCATTAGCAAAGCAAGAACCACTTTAATCCCCAGGGAGGATATACATAGATATTAGGCCTCCTTGCCCCGTTTGGTGGGGGGGGGGTCTGGAAGTAGCTTGATGGATCCCTGTCTTTCATAATTCCTAATTTCTTTGTAAAAGCAAAGCATGCTGGTGAGAACTACCCCACTGAGGTTTGCACTCTGCTGAGGCATCCCACCCCAAATGGGGTTTTACCTGGTACTTATGTTTATAACTTTCCAGCTGGTGTCTTTATTTTGTCCATATTTTACCAGTACTTCTGTTTCTATATTGAAGAGCATGTAGAAGTTCAGGGGTAGGATTGTAAGAAGAGTGAAATAATGCATGGATACTTCTAGAATTTGTAATAAAAGCTCTTCCTGAATATCAAGTTGCCCGGTGGGGACCTCCCCCATTTCTGGATTAGACAGTGCCTCACTCTTCGGAGTCTTTGGAAAGGTTTTGTTTTTTGTGCTGCTGAATCAAAGAATGCTGTTCTGCTTAGTATGTAGTCATCACAGATGCAGAAATATGAGCATTTCTTTGAATAATGCCAGTATCCCCCCTTTTTTGAGACAGGGCTTCTCTACATAGTCCTGGCTGTCCTGGAACTCACTGTATAGACCTGGCTGGCCTTAAACTCATAGAGATCCACTTGCCCCTGCCTCCCAAGTCCTGGGATTACAGGCATGCACCACCATGTCCAGTCCTGCATTTTTTAATTCCACAAATTCCTAAGCACAAAGTCCCATATCTGTCATCCTTTGTACCATCAACATGCTTCCCTAAGTTTCAGCTGTTTTGAAGATGCATTGATACTGAGGTGGCAGGAGGCAAAAACATGTTCCTATGCCCTACATGGGTAGATGAGGCTTGCAGTGCTGCTCCCTGGGTGGCTTTCCTTGCTGCTCTTAAAGAAAGTCATTCAAAGGATTACTGGATATTTTCAGAGTGGCACGAACTTTCCAGTAGCTGATTCAGAAAGACGGTGAATCTGGAGAAGTTTTATGGATGACTCCCAACCCCCACTCCAATCTTGGTTTGTATTTTGTCTTCAACAGGCTGGTTTAGGAAAGTTTATTAGTGTTTTATGATTTGGGGAAGACTTGGGTAGATATTTTGTCATATGTAGTTAGTTGTTTTATTGATGAAATTGACCTGTGGTAAGAGTGGATAATGAATAGAATAGAGAAGATGGGGTATGATGATGGACACGACTGAAGACAGAAGAGAACCTAGGTGCCATATTACCAACATTCCAAGGCATAAACTTTGACGGTTTAGTCCCTGGTTGAGAACTTTTTTTTTTTCTTTTAAAGAGACTGATTTTTTTTTCCTATCCCTCGAAAATCCCTCTGATCACTAAGGGATGCAGGATTCCTTTTGCCACTAGAGGGCAACGATGAGACACTTCAAGAAGGTCAGGCAGTGCTGTTACCCCATCTGTTTTAATTAAGCTCTTGTGAGTAGTTTCTACTTCCTTCCATTAACTGGGTGCCATCTCTAAACTAGGTTGAATGTTTGGTACTAGGAAGATATAGAAAAGACCTGATTCTAGTCGTAACACATTCTATAGTCATACTATATTTAACACTGTAGCCAGGCAGTGGTGCCACACACCTTTAATCCCAGCCTTGGGAGGCAGAGGCAGGGGGAGCTCTTTGAGTTTGAGACCAGCCTGGTCTACAAGAGCAAGTTCCAGGACAGCCTCCAAAGCCACAGAGAAATAGTGTCGAAAAACCAAACCAAAACAAAACAAAAAAAACCAACCCCCCCCAAAAAAAACCCCAAACACCACAGTATGTAATGTAGGAAATCTAGTTAGCACAATTGGGACAATAACCCAATTCTTTGTGTTTGCAGGCCATCAATGTTTGTATTAACAAGTGGAAGCTCAGTCTGTTTTCAGGCAAATCTTTTAGTACATTGTATTTCATTTACTTGATTACATGAGCCAAGGCCATCAGAAAGTTAGTTTTTATCATTGCCCCCCTCCTTGAGGAAAGTTGATTCCTTTTGTGTGTGTGTTTCACAAGTAATGTAGACATTTATTTTTATCATCAGAATTCAAACATTGTAGGAATGAATAGAATGAAAAGTTCCCCCACATCCTACTCTTCTCAAGGTTGTCCCTAAGGACAAAAGCTGTTAGTTGTGTGGTATTATTCTAGAAATTTTCCTAGAAAATATGTAAATTTATTTTCACATAAATGGGGTTGTCCAATAATTTTTCTACTTCTTTACAACCAGTCTATACATTGTCCCAAGTTAGGTCATACAGATTTACTTCATTATCAAACCGTTGTGTAATATTTCATATAATAGATGTGTGATAACAAGTTTTCTATTGATGAAGTTTTAGCTTTCTTCTGTTCCATTGATTTAGGTAATGTTTAAATTTCTTAGAGTGCTGAGGAGATGGCTTAGTCAGATCTGAGTGTAGCTTCCCAACACCCACATAAAATCTGGACACAGTGATGTATACTTACCATCCAAACAATGAGAAGGTGGAAACATGAGGAAACTGGGGCTTGCTGGCTATCCAGTCTAGCTGAATTGGTGGGTTCCAGGCTCAGTGAGAGGCACTGTCAGAAAAAAATGAAGTAGAGAAGTGATTGAAGAATGACACCCAATGTCAATCTTTGGACTTCACACACACATGTGCACGTGCCACGATATGGTAATTTATTAACTCAGTCAGTATAACACTAAGCAACAGGTGCTGCTTTTGCCTCTGGATACAAAATTTTTTGTTGAATATGCAAATATTTTTACCACTCTTAGTTTGTGTTTTCATTTTCTTTACAGCATTTTTTAAAACCAAAATTTTATTTTATTTGAGACAGGTTCTTATACTATAGTCCAGGCTGATTTAGAATTCACTATGTAGCCTACCTTGGCCTCAAAGTCATGGTAATCCTCCTGCCTCTGGAATGCTGGAATTAAAAGCATGAAATTCAAAATATCAGATTTTGAATATCTATCTTACTGACCAATTATTTGTTCATTTCTATGCCAATATCATGCATTTTGATGAGCATAGATTCATAAAAATTTAGTTTCAGTCTTCTTTGTTTTACTTTTTCTGAGTGGGTTTGGCCATTAGTCCTTTGTTTTTCTATAATAATTTTTAAACTACTGTGTCAATTGGTTTTATTGAGTTTATATGCTACATCCTTGTTTAAGTCACTTATTAGTATTTGTTGCCTTGCTTGTATTTAGAACATACAGTATGATCATGTTTTATAGAAATGATGAGAAAAGACAACCTTTATCGAGTCAATCTTGTTTTTTTTTTTGGTTTTTGTTTCTTTTTTTTTTTGAGACTGGTTTTCTCTGTATTGCTTTGGAGGCTGTCCGGGAACTCGCTCTGTAGACTAGGCTGACGTTGAACTCACAGAGATCCGCCTGCCTCTGCCTCCCAAGTGCTGGGATTAAAGGTGTGCATCACCAACGCCCAGCATATTGTGTCAATCTTAGAGATGACGGCATTTAGGGTTTTCTTTGGTTTTGGTTTTGGTTTTGGTTTTGGTTTTTTTGAGACAGGGTTTCTTTGTATAATAGCCCTGACTGTCCTGGAACTCGATCTGTAGACCAGGCTGGCCTGGAACTCACAGATAGCCGCCTGCCTCTGCCTCCCAAGTGCTGGGATTAAAGGAGTGTGCCACTACTGCCTGGAAACATTTAAGTTTTAAATTTCTTGTATTTTAACTATAGGTCTTTTTGTTTATTTATTTTTGGTTTTTCGAGACAGGTTTTCTCTGTGTAACAGACTTAGTTGTACTGGAACTCACTCTGTAGACCAGGCTGGCCTAAAACTCAGAAATCTGATTGCCTCTGCCTCCCTAGTGCTGGGATTAAAGGCATGTGCCACCATCACCCAGTTTTCTGAGATTTTCTAAAAACTCTAACAGATACTTTTTCATCTATAAAGTAATAATTGACTTTTCTTCTTTAGTCTGTTCCTATAGTGGTTTCCTGACTTCATTTAATTTTCAATGCTTTTGAGAAGGATCTTGCTGTGATTTCTCTTTATGTTTGTGATATCGGAGCTTTGCATATGCTATTAGTAAGTACTCTATTACCAAGATATATTCCTAGACTCCTTTGTGTTTTTTAATGCTGAGCCTGCCGTGAACTCCCTGGGTAAACTTCACGTGGTTGTCAAGTATTCTTGGACTTGCTTTGCTAGTAGTTTGCTCAGGGCATTTGTACTTCTGTTCA